CACCAATATGATATAAGAAATAAACAGAAATTAATTAAAAAATAGCATAGGATTTTGTTCCGTAATTCTAATATTACTATTTTTATATTATTATGTTGATTATTTAATGTTATTCAAGTGTAGAACATATTTTGAATTTATTTTAAACCATTCATTTATAGCGATAACTCTTTTTGTTTTACTGAATAAATAAATAAAGAATGAATGGTTATTTTATGTAATAATTCAACAATTCCACATTTAAGCATATAGTCGATTAATACAACAGAGTATAATAATGCATTATTACTCATATACTTATATTGCAGCGCTTTTTTAAATATCGATTGTAAATAACTGACTCTTTTCATATTCTTCTCAGTAAAAATTATTAAAAAATTATTAAAAAGATGCTATTCGCTGGACTGCTCGTGTGGATTTTCAAGTGTGCTAGTAAGGTTTGTAGTTTATTACGAGTACATTTTTGTAAATAATTGTTTATGTATTACCTGCTTATTATCTATAAGCTTGTTAGATCCATTTTCAGTCACATACTATAGTTTAAAACTCAAAACTTCCAATACATAGCTAKAATAAAAATTAACAAGACAATAATTTGAGTTATTATTTCTATTAACCATTTAAAAGTAAATAATTATATTTAATGCAAATTGTTTAGTAATATTGTGAACATAACGTCATACCTAATTGTTAATTGTTAGCTACAGATACTTAACCCAACAAATTGTAAGTGTAAAAAGAGCAATGCCGAATATTGACCCTGAGTAAATCAGTCTTATGAATAATAATACCTTTTGGAGTTCATTTTGACGCTCAGTCAATATAGGAATTGGATGTAAAGAAGTATAATGAAGTCAGAATATGGGAAATGTTCGCGAAATATTTTTTTATATACATGCAGAATGTAACAGGAATACCTAAAAAATGAAATATAATTTTGTTCTAATCATTATTTTAAATGTTTTATTTATTTATTAATTTTATATATATATATATATAATTTACAGTCACTTGCGCTACACATATTGTGTAATAGTTTATGTAGTCAAATTTTGAATTTTTTATTTTTTTTTAAATCTCTTTATTTTCGTAGTTAATCCCGTATATGTTGATCTAGTCATAAAAAAACATTTTTATTTAAAAAGTATAATTCTTTTTTGAATATTTTGAAATAGGTAGTTGTTATAGTATCTAAGTATATGTTTTTTAAGTTTTTATTATTTTCTAATTAATAAGTTTTACTAAAAAAATGAACAGATTTACTAATTCACTAATTTTAAATTTTAAAAACAATTAATCAAATTTAAATATTCAGTGTTATAAAATAAAGCTATACAATTTTATATTACGCCAAAGACCATAAATTATGATTAAAAATCAAATATTGATCAGAACAAAAGTTATTTGATTTATATAGGTATCATCTTGTTACACTATGTACGAGTATATTTGAAACTTAAGCTGACTATGATCAAGTTTATTTGTACTAAATATATTACTTTGTTATTATTCAATTTAATCTTAGTTTTTCTTCCATATGTATCACATAATAATAATTATTATATATTTATATTATATACATATAATTATTATAATATTACTCAATAATGGTTTACGTTTAAAACTAGCATAGAAGCGTTTTATTCAGATATCATGCTATCTTAATGACCTTGGTTAAACAATTATTCAGTTATAGCATATAATATAATAGTATACTAATGACCATAGAATATTAATAATGTTATTTGGCCACTTAAATAATTTATAATAATCTGCAGAGATTTAAAAAAAAATATACCTATTAAAAACGGAATGTAATGAATGTTCTATATTTTACATTTATTTTTCGTAAACTTTGATAAAGTTACATATAAATATGTGAAAACAAATAAAATACGAGATATGTGTTCAAAAAAAKATCGATAATAAGATCGTATGTGAAGTTTCCAGAAAATTATTATTTTTCGCTGTTGCAGACGATATCAATACGTTTACCCTGTATATATATAAAAATAATTTCGAAACTATTTTATCTTTGTACTTATATATGTCGCATCCACTTAGTGTAATCGTATTTTTCACGAAATAGATATCCATTTCATGAACTATGATCATATCGTGTAAGTCAAATTTTAGTTCATGAAATGGGCATATATTTTATCCATTTCATGAAATGAAAACTCTTATTTTACACTTTGTGTAATATTTTAAATTAATTATATCAATAGATAACTTTTTGTGAAATTGAAATCTTTAAATTTAAAAAAATTCTAAAATCTCTAAATTCAACCACAGTTAAAAAAAATGTAATTGCAGTTATTGTAAATCAGAACAAACATAAACTTCACCAACTCGGAACTCAATATGGTTTAGTAAAAGGGTGGTACAATTTAGCAAGTTTGAAACCCGTGACATTTAATTTTTTTTAAACTACTTAAGTTAATAACGATAAAGAACTCACATTATGTGAAACAGTTTCTGATATTTCTGGGGGACAAGGTTTTTTAAGTTGTACTTGTAAACGCCAATGTGAATCAAAACGATGTGCTTGTTTTAAAGCTTCTGTAAAGTGTAACAGTCGTYGYCATAACACTAATATTTGTAAAAATAAGTAATAATTTATTATTATTATGATGATGATTATAATTATTTATATTTATATAATTTATAATTTATTTTTATTTTTATTATTATTATA